GTGTTTGTATGAACTTTCCTGCTGTCAGTGATGTGTTTGGATTAAATGTGAAAACAAAATGCTCAGATAATAACGTGTAGTGTAACACTGACCACACTGCCCCCATATGGTCAAATGAGGTATTGCAGGTAACAACCTGCTGCTGTGAAAAACGTGATGATTGGAAAGTCTCATTAATCAGTGGTGCTTGGAATAAACTGAAACCTAAAAGCCAACTTTTATAAATTAAAATCTTCATAACATTCTTCTTCTTTCTCTTTCGGCTTTTCCTTCTTCAGGGGATGCCACACAGAGAGTCATCCTCCTTCATCTCACTCACAATCTTCATTAAACCTTTAAGACTAAGATGGAGTGATGATGTCATCGTTTCCCCCTCCTAAAACATTTTCCCATCAGTTTACTTTTGATCAAAATTATAATTTGCGGCATTATTTATATATCTCATTATTTTTAGTAGTTATGTGGTTAATATTCTTGACAATTATTTTTTAATAATTATGAGTAGTGCTGATCAGTCAAAACAAAAATGGTAAAAAAAAACAAAAAAAAAAAACAACCTCAACTGGAGTTCTTGGATATTATTATGTTTATAATTTCAGTTTCTTTGAACAAAAAGTATCAGTCAAAAATAATCATGTTATTTCCTGTAACAGGTATTAAACACAAACTTTTAAAGTATCCGTAAAATTTAGCTTATATAATGTAATCACGATTTTTCTGATAGAAAATAACTGTAAAACATTTTTTTTCCTCTAATCTTACTTCTTTTTATCAGTTTCAGTCTTTTGCTTGTAAAAAAAATGTTCACATTGTGATTTAATAACTTTACTCAAATTAAAATGACATTTTTTCCTCTATTGCTGCATAAAACACCTATATTTTTCTTTATTTCTCATAGATTTGTTTGTTTTACCTCATATTTCAATTCCACTCAGTCAAGTCTTTAAAGTGGGTGTGTTGTTCATATTTAAAGAACTGTTCTTGTGCTCACAGGATTTATAGACAAATCTTTTATTTTCTTAGTTTAAAGACGTGTTTCTTCGTGTTGCTTGTCCTCCTCACAGCATTCATTGCTGGACGCAGCCTGCCTGGAGCAAAATGCATGCTGGGATTCATCTGAGCGTTGAGGAGGGAGGTTGTCTTCTTGATCCTGATCAGCAGGAGAAGGATGAGGGCTTTCAGCTGGAAGGAAGACAAACAGCATTAAATACATTCATTTTCCAGATTGACTAAAAGTTTCAATTGAAATTAAACCAAACAAGAAACTTAATGAATCTAAACATATATTTTTTTAAAAATACAGACCATTGGAATTTATTTTGATCTTGTGTTTAGCAGGAACTGCAACTCTAATCCACTGAGTCAGTTTCTTGTAAAAAGTATCCAGAGCTGCAGAGGAGACACATTCATACAAATTATCTTTGAGGTCCAGTTCAAATCTGTACAACCGACTGAGAAGCTGCTTCAACACGTATAAAATCTGAACTAAACCAAAAAAAAAAAAAAAAAAAAAAAAACCCAACTCATCTGCAAACAGCTATAAATTCTAAATTTAGTAAGACAAATTACCATAATCTATTCCAGTTGATAAAACAATGGGACAAGCAGCATGATAAAACCACAATACAAACATATTTACTGCCTAACTTCCACTTGTATCTATGATGGTCTGTTAGAAAACAGCTTGAAATGATGAACCTTTGTTAGGATGACTAGCAGCTGATGAAGCTGTCGGCTCTGATTCCCTCTCTTCCCCCTGTCCTTCTGCGGGTTCTCCCTCAGGATTTGCTCCATCGTCCAGCCGAAGAAACACTGTGAGCAGAAGATGATCCAGCAGCTTCTGCGCATGCTCGGGCTTTGTTCTGATGACCAGTCGCAGAGGAGGTTGTTTTGCAGAAATCCTCAGCTCAGTGGGATTGCTAAAGAAGCCAGAATCCCCAGAAATGGTTTAAAACCCTCCGAATAAGAAGAGCTGAACCAATCGGCTGCCGTTTCAATAGCTCAAATCAAATATGCACGTTTAATAATGTTCATAACAAAAACTTACCTGTTCCTGGACTTTCTAAAAACCCAACAGAGAATCAGAAGAACCACCAAAATCACAAACAGAATGACGAGTGAAGAAAGGAGGAGGTCCGTGGACGTCTGCTCGGCCATCGCTGCACTGAAGCAAGAACAAGAAGAAGAGTTTAAACATCAAAGTTCATGCTCAATAATCCTGGTAATAAAATCCAACAAAGTTCAGTCAGGTCATCTGGACGGTTTATTTTTTTTGGTTGAGATGTTTCATCCTTCATCCAAAGGACTTCATCAGTCCACGGAGCCACAAGAAACTCAGTCCCACAAGCAGCACACTCACATGGTGGACCAACCAGTTTGATGGTGATAAGATGGTTTCTCTCCCCAGTCGTCTCCTCTGCCTTGGAATGATGGGCAGCCCAAAGTGGTTCAAAACATCAAAGTTCATGCTCAATAATCCAGATTAAAAAAAAAATCCAACAAAGTTTAGTCAGGTCATCAACTCATTTGAGTTTAAAGAGATTAGTTCTCTTGTCTGAGTGAAGCGGAAAGAAAAGGTTTTCATTTTTATCCTTGAAATCTCAGCTTTATCCCTGAAACGCCGATCGCACATGAGATTAATTTGGTTTAATGATGGTGGAAAACATCTTCAAGCATTTTAAAGTTTGTTGCTCCGAAACGTTGACAGCCAGAAACAGGCACCAAGTGGAAACTAGCAGCGACTTGACCTTGAAGCCACGTTTAACAAACTCTGCCATATAAACTCCAAAGAATTGTGTTAAACCTTCAGTTTTTAAACTTTGATTGAAATAAACGTACCTTCTTCTGTTGTCGCAGTCCTCTGAGTTATAGCTGTTACACTGATGACAATGAGTGGCAACAATAATTACACTTTTTAAATTTCAACAAGGTTTGAAAGAAAACATTCAGGTGGAACTTTAAAAAAAAACCTGAATTCTTCTAATTGTTTAACTACATCCCTGGGCGTGCTTGACTTGTCTGTATGTCTCTGTGATGGACTGGAGACATGTCCAGGGTGTCCCCCACCTCTTGCTCAGTGTCTGGAAATGCAGGTCACTTTATTTGACGGCAAGCTCGAACAATACAGATGAATAAATGAATATTATGTGCACTTACTGCTACAGTTTCAAGACACTTTATTAGCCATTTGTTCACGTACACCCAGTTTGAACACATTTGAATTTTCTGTGCAAACACTGTAGTCAGTACAAGTTAAAAAAAAAATTAAAAAAACACAAATATGACTTGGTAAAGTCCCACACTGAGGCGCCATCCCATTTAAAAAAAGGAATAAAGACCATCAACAGTCCGTGTCACTGAGATTTCTCAACTTTCCTTTTATCCTGATGCATGCCCAATAATCCAATAATTTCCTTTTATGTTATTTAAAGAAATAATATAATTTTTGCAGATTTTATAAATATCAAGATTTCAAAGGTGTAATTTTCCCATAAAGTTAATTCAGTTCAATTCAGTTCAAAACACTTTATTAATCCCAAAGGGAAATTAAACGCTGTTGCAGCTCATCCATTTTTTCATAAAGAGTTATATATGTTGATGGCTGTGTGCAGGAAGGATCTCCCACAGCGGATCTGAAGAATCTGGCCACAGATGCCGATCCATCCCAGCAGGCCTCTCGGTCCTCCTGGGCAGCAGGACCAGCTGAATGCTGGGTAGAACTCCTCAATGAGCGATGGCCACTCCTCTCAGCAGCTTGTTGAGCTCCTTATCATTGCAGACAGCCAACTCCAGATGTCAGGGGACGATCCTGGTCTTCTTCTTGTCATGAGCCACGCTTCCTGCCAGCTCCAGCAGTCAGTCACTCGAGCACCTCCACCAGGTAGATGGAGATGCATCCACGGTGCCTTCTTTACAACTCATTTGGGATTTGGGGCTGTATTTGAGAAAATATTTGAGCTGTGAGATGTTAATCAGCTGCTCCCGGTTGTAAAACAAAAAAAAAAAAACAGCTTGTTGTCATGGTTACGCTTCATAACAAATGTCCAAAAGTAAAAAGGTTTTCAGTTAAAGTCCTTCCAGCTGAAGAGCATGTGATATCAGAGGAAGTAATCACCGCCCCCCAAAAAAAGAGTTTACATCCAGAAAAAAAGAAAATAAAGTTTTCAGAATCAACATCCCAGAATGAAAGTAACAGCTACTCCAACATTAGCCTTGAGCGGCGCAATTCTAGAACACCTGATGCATATATTTATATGATGGTACACTATAAACTTTAGCTGTAATTTAATAAATCCACATTTTCTGACCAAACTTTGTCTTTTTAAAAGCAACAGTTTTAGTTCAGTTCAAACAGGTTTATCAATGCATCAAATAGGAAAATTCCTCTGGATAAGCTGCCCAACCGTTTCTTTATCTATAAGAGATGAACATAAACTAACTTAGATTTAAATATAAAGGCTGGCAGGAACAGTTTTAATCCAAGTCTGATACAGATTATACAGTTGACTGTAACAAAGCTCGGTTGGAACTGATAAAGTTTTATTCTTTCCTCTCCTCTCTCATAAGTCCTCTCCTTTCTCTGCTCTGGTCACAGCTCCAGTTTTGGAGGAACAAATGTGCGTGGAGAGGAAATAGATGGAAAATAAAAGATGATGGCTCGGAGCTAAATAATATAAAAACTGGACAGGAAGCAACAAGTTTGCAGAATATTTTTTTAATCAGATCAGTAAATACGTAAAACATTTTTACAAAATGTTCAATAACTCCACAAGATAAATCAAGATATTTACCTAAAGGTTTTTTTGTAATAAAGCTGATTTTGTTATAAAAATTAAGATTTATATTAGAATCAAATACTTACATTCTGATTTACCCTAATGGACAACGTTTAAGCACCATATTGATATAAATAAACTTTTCCAATACAACAATAATTAAAAAACAGAAATAAAACAGGGAAAATGTACAACAGTACAACTTTCAGATTCAAGGTGTGTGTGTGTGTGTGTGTGTGGGGGGGGGGGGTGTATTCATGTGTGTTTTCAGGAGTTGTTCTTTATGTTTTCATTGTTATTGATCTCCATCCTGCTGATCAGTTCAGTCACCAGCTGCTGCACGGTTTGAGAACGCAGACGACCAACCTCCAGGACGCCCTCGTGGTTCACACTGTCAGAGTCATCGTAACTCTTCCCCACCTGCACAAGATCAATCAATCAATCCTGGAAGTATTAATAGTTAAGTTTTATCCCCCAAAAAATGGTAAATTAAACAGGCAGAACCCCACAAAACCCTTTTCAACACAGCATTTGGCTTATTTCTGTTGCAGTCCAGCATTATTGTTTTGACTTGGCCAAAATCAGTTTTTTAATCATATTGATCAGTGAGTTACCTTGTTAGTGATCAGAGAGAGACCAAAGACTCTCAGACCACAGTGAGATGCCACGATGACCTCAGGGGCCGTACTCATACCTGTAAACAGAGCAGAACATTTACAGAGAACAAGACCACTGCTGTTGCTTCCATAGTGAAGTTGTTCCTGTGAAATGTTGGAGTGTTTATATATTTGCTGTTAAACTTGACACGCTGCAGAAATCATTTGTAACTTTAGGTAATGACAAGCCCATCAATTCTATACGGAACTTGGCTAAATATGCCTTAGAAACTCCCACTTGATTAATAATTGTTTAACTTATTTGTAAAAAAA